ATGTGAAATATTATTACAATTTAAAATAACTGTTTTATATTTGGATATATTGTAAAATGTAATTTTATTCCTGCGATCAAAGCTGAATTTTCAGCATCATTACTCCATTCTTCAATGTCACATGATCCTTCAGAAATCATTCTAATATGATGATTTGATTGAAACGCTTTTATTAGTCTTTTTAATGTTGAGAATAGTTGTGCTGCCTCATATTTCTGTGGAAACGGGGATATATTTTGTTCAGAATTCTTTAATGAATTGTTTTTTTTTAAATGTATAGTAATAGTATATGTGTTATATCTGTATAAGAAAGCATAAGTGTCAGAAATCAATTTGGCATTTGGTTTCAATTTAGAAGTCAGATGTATGTTGTTCGAACAGTTTCAACATGATTCTTTCTGTTAGTCTATTAGAGTGACAGCGATGATGAAGGCTGACAGGTTGATGTTCTCTGTGGAGTCGGGCCGAGATCGCAGGGGTGTTTAGGACCCTGTCTGTTTTCGCAGGACCCAGGGGTTCCATCACCAGTTTTGGATGGAGATCATCTGAATAATTTAGTGATCAGTTCTTGGGCTGTCACACTTCTCTTCATGTCTGCCAGATGAATCAAATGAATGTGTGCTTCTGCTGTAGGATCTGTGTGTGAACGCTGAGATCCAGTGAACAGCGGCCCTGTGAAGTCTCAAAGCTTGTCTGTGTGTGTCGTGGTGGAAAGCAACAGCAGTATTGTGTTTTGTTCAAGTATTCTTTTAGTCTCTCTCTCCTCAGAGGTAAGTGGATAATGAGAAGCTAATTTCTGAGATGAAAGGAAATTATAGGCAAGAACACCTTTTCCTGTGATATGTTATTTTGTGTCTGTGTTCATCGCTCATTTTCATCTGCTTGAACGTTCTTGACTGTGTCACAATACAGGCGCCGCCTTTCATTGTTATGCCTGGTTCAGATTACACGATTTTAGCCCGATTTTGGCACGATCCGTTTTACGTAGGGTGTCGTGGGGATTCGTAAACGACAACGTAAACGACGCAAGATTCGATGGTATCATCTCGTATAGTGTGTCATAGTGGGCGACAACCTACGTCGCGTCTGCGATGCTTCACGACATCGTCTGTGATGCTTCTGCGATGCTTCACGACAGACAAGAACGGTTTGACCTAAAAATATCAAAATTGAAACTTGTGTGGACCACAAAGACACCTATCTTGGATGCCCTTGAGGTAAGCTAAAACATATCACAAATTAATTTCAAAGTGAACTATCCCTTTAATTGGTGAATACTTAAAGGCTATAGTTTTCTTAAAGGCTTTTTGCTGTGGAACTGAAATTGATATTAAGAATTATGAATTTGGTACCGAATTATGCATCTGAAATGAGTGTTTAGACGTCTGTCATGTGATCAGACACATATCAGATTTAGTACCAGATTTAAAAGTGGACGCAAACAGTGTTTTGTCATTTACGTGGATGAAAATTGATTTGTCACTGGAAAAAATGAGTTGGTAAATATGCCAGGAAATGCTACAGAGAGTAAATAAAGACAAATAAATGAAGCGCAACTGCTTGAAATAGACCTGCTCATGAATAAGTTTATGATATTACCTGAAAAGAGCTTTTGTATTGATCTGCCCGCTGAACTCTGAAAGCGAATTGAGGATATTCTATCTGAAGTGGGTCTAATGTTGCATTACTTGTTGTAATATTAAGCTCACGTTCGCAAAGCAGTGAGATTTGCCACAGTGTACCTTAAACACATCTCTCTGTAGTTACAATTATGAGTTCTGTACACGTTAAGCTCTTTTTAACCAAAGAAAATAAAGGAGAGATCCTTTACAGCTCAAATAACACATTTTTATAAAAGGATTAATATGTGCTTCCAAAAAAAAAAAAAAAAAGACTCAGACGTCTTGCCCCAAAATGTGATTCGCATTCGATTTGTACGAACTGACGGACAAGTCAGAATTATTTTCTGTTGTAATCTGTGACTAGCATAACTTGTATCACATTTGCACATTGTGTTTACAAATCATTTCATTCTTTCTCTTTGAACCACTGACATTAATACACTGTTCTTGCAGTTCGATCTGGAAGACAGAGAGAGTGTATGCAACCTTCGGCTCCACTGAATCCCCGTTCACACTGTGCGACTTTGTCGCTGCTGGTTTAAATGCGTTTTATTGCCACTAAACAAATATTTTGGAAGGAAAAGTTTACATTTAAATGGAATTAGTACATAAAATGCATTTTAAAGATGAACGAGAAACAGTGAGTGCTCTTTGCCATCGCGGCGATTTAACTGCAGCAAACGTGCAAATACCGGTCTATCTGGGTTCCCGAAACCATTCAGTCACGGAGTCAGTACGGTGAACACCACTGTACACGGAGATATATCATCCATTATAGGACAGTTTCTGACTGCTAAAATGAGCTTCTCGTCCAACTTGCCTCGCTCAGACTCAGCAATAAATAGTGACGCGCTCCACTGACTTCACTCCTATTTGTTGTCGCTCTTGAAAATCGCTCTTCATTTGCATAAAGTTTAAAAAAATTTCAACTTTGTCGCGTCGCTGGACACGCCCCTCCGGTCGCCAACGGTCGCGACCGCGCTTGTCGCCGGAAGTCGCCCGCTCACCATTGAAAATGAATGGTATCGGTCACGTGTAGTGTGAACGGGGCTTTAAACCGAAAAAAACCCTCACTTTGACATTATTAATTTATTTTTTCTAACTTAAATGAACCTCTCTTTACTTAAGGAATTGGACCCATTCCTTCCTGTATGCAAATTAGCTCCAAGGAACCACAGGTTCAATTAACTTCCATGTTTCCAGCATTTGAGCTCAGAGATTTACTTAATCAATCTCTCTCTCTCTCTCTCTCTCTCTCTCTCTCTCTCTCTCTCTCTCTCTCTCTCTCTCTCTCTCTCTCTCTCTCTCTCTCTCTCTCTCTCTCTCTCTCTCTCTCTCGCTCTCTCTGCTGTAATAATACAGTATCTGTCATGTACTTGAAACTTTCTCTGAAAACTAGTGTAATAAGTGTTGGTTTTGATGTTGTACACATTAAGCCTTTCTGTTGCAGGTGGGTAAAATGAGACCTTATCAAATTTCCATTGGAAAATGTGAATAATTTCAGCAGTGTTCAGTGATTCTGTTCATTGAAATGGATCAGGTCTGCTTGCTTGTGTGAAGTCCTCTGACCTATCTGTCCTCTATTGCCAGTTCTTCATTAAGCAGTCGTCTTTCTGCATCACACATCTAGAAATATCCTCCCTGTGTGTGGGTGTGGGTTTGAAATGTGAGAAAATGAAACTAAACTTAGCGTCAGAACATCAGACAGAACATTCACATGCCAAGCGTTCGCCGATTCTGCATCATCTCTCGCTCCCAACGCGTCTTTCTGCGTTTTACTGAAGGATTATTCATGTTTGATATCGATGCATTGGCTGAAATCCTCAGCATACGCTGACTGTTTATGTACAGCTGGTGTTTGGTCCTCTTGATGCAGATTACGTCTAGTAACCAAAGGGGGTTTCTAGTGAAAAATACCCACTGAAATCTGATTCAGAAGAGAGTTTAACTAGGCCAGTAAAAAATGGTATTAACAAAGTACAATGTGGGAGTTTGTCCAGCTCACGATGTGGGATGTAGTGAGTAAGAGGAGTTTCACAGAGATGCATTACGGAATAGTTCATCCAAAAATGAATAATGTCATCATTTATTCACAGATTTGCATAATATGATCGTATACGGAGCCTCTAAACTGGGACCTATGAAAAAAAAAATATATATATATATATATATATATATATATATATATATATATATATATATTTTTTTTTTTTTTATTATTATTTTTTTTTTTTGTGGGGACATATTTTGTGGGGAATCACAAACACTTAATTTTTGGTGAACTATTATTCCTTTAAGACTTTTGCAGTACGTACTTGTCTATTAAATGGGCGTATTCTTGATTCTGTCAATATTGTTGAAAATTAAGTTTTTATATTAGAGGCATATTATCTAAATTGCCTTTATGTTATCACAAACCTCTGCTTTTTGCCGCTTTCACCAGGACACTGCACAAATATTGGGACAGGACCTACATTCACCTACTATACTCCTTGCAGTTCACTACAGTTATTTTAGTCACAGGATCCTCACAGATGAACGCTCTGGAAAACTGAACTACAAATGCTGTTTTACACTGGCACAACTGTCATCTGTTTGAATAACACATTGTTTTTTAATATCCAGATGTCTAGTTCAATTTATTTAAACATTTTGTTCGGACAAGGATCCTGTTTTATAAAGAGAAGCATGCATTCAGACAAGATTCAACTTTATCATGAGTAAATAACTGAAAACTGTCACGGCATACTTTTTTTTACATTTAATTGCAATATTTGTTGGTTTGATATTTGTTTGTTACATTCAATATGTTTGTTGTTTCATACATTTTGTTTCAAAATGTTTTCTAGCGGTTTTTCAAAATTAATTAATCTCTTTTTTTCCCCAGAATCACGTGATAAATGTTCAATGACTAATGATCATATTTCACTGACTCTTCTGAATTAATATTTATCCATTGCCTGGCACATTCTGTCTGCACAACATGCGCGCGCGGCGCGCACACACAAAAGTTCACACAGGAACAGTAAGGATTTGAACGAATTTTATGTGAAGTTGATTTTTAATGTAATGTTATATATATATATATATATATATATATATATATATATAGATTATGCTGCAAAATGTCAATGCCACGTTGACCATTACGATATACGTGTAAACGAACATTTGTTACACTTCACACTGTTGTGTTTCTCTGTCCTTTTACGTGATGGGGGTTTCTGACATTTCCATGACTCTTAAACACGTGTGTGATGCACATTATGCAACATAATCCAATAGATGAGACCCGACGTAACGAACGGCTGCAGATGATTTAACTTTAAAAAAAAATTGAAATGATCAATTCACTCTTTTCCGAGGTCACCTGTTGAATGAGAAAATTGCACGAAAGAAAATAAAAATTTCATACTGAGATCGTTCCGCACACTCACACACTCGCGCTTGTGCAGTCTAGAGTGTCATCTGTGTGCGCGCCTTGGTGATGTGTGAGTGTTTTCTTTTTTCTCAGGCTGGCACACACCGAAGTCTGCCAGCGGACGCTCGCGGTGGCATACCGTGACAGTGCAGCTTTCCCGGAGCGGAACCGAACGAGACTCGATTCCATCCGTCCAGCCACGCGTCACCGGGGAAACAGATGGACACATTCGCGCTCGGACCTGTTGTTCGTGTGACCATCCGGCGCATTCAACTTGGCGTCTCGGTAAACCAGGGGAAATAAGTGAGTTTCTCCTGGGTCGGATCACGTTTGGAGCATCAGACGTGCGCTGCGCGTCTCCGCCGCTCATCAGATGATGCGTGATCACGGGTCCTCCTCCGGTACCTCCGGCATTACTCACGCACCGGCAGAGTGAGAACAGCTTAAGATGATCCTCAGATGAACAGGTCGGGGAAACTTTTTTTCTTGAAGATGTGCAGGGGAGCTTCGGTCTTCGTTTGGATTTCTGATGGCCACGGCGAAGAGTTTGTTTAAACGCACAAGAGGAGGAAATTTAACAGGTGCGTAATTGTCACTCGAGCATGAATCCCAGTGGCTTCTGGCACCTACTCCAGTTCAGAAGCTCTTTGGAGATCACGCGGGGAGCGCGCTAGTTGATGGCACTGCGCGCCGGGAGGACTTTGCTGTGGTTCGGGCAGGTTTTGCGCAGAGTTTCGCGGCTGCAGGGCTTGTGGTCCCGGCGCTCCAGCAGTCTGCTGTGTCTCTCGGCCAGCCAGGACCACGACCAAGGGACCTGTTACAACCGCAACCGGTGTCCGAAGACGCATCATCAGCAGCAGCAGCGGCAGCAGCAGCACTGCCCCTATCCGCCCTTTCCAGACTGCTGCTGCGCCTTCCCGGGGGAAAAGAGGGGACATGAACCCCTCAGCCGCCGGTTCCTGGTGGCCATGAAGAGGCAGAACGTGCGGACGCTGTCCCTGATCGTCTGCACGTTCACCTATCTGCTGGTCGGGGCCGCGGTGTTTGACGCGCTCGAGTCGGACTACGAGATGCGGGAGAAGGAGCAGCTGGAGGCGGAGGAGAAGCGCCTCCAGGGCAAGTACAACATCAGTGAGGATGACTATAAAAAGCTGGAGACCATCATCTTGGAGGCCGAACCGCACAGAGCAGGGGTCCAGTGGAAATTTGCAGGGTCCTTTTACTTTGCCATCACTGTCATAACCACTATCGGTAAGTTTAAGCTTAGTTTCTATGGGGTTTTTTTTTCACGCAACGTGGTGAAAAGAGTCTAAATGGACCTAGTTTGGACATACATGTGAGGTTGATTCGAGCTTTTTTTTTTTTTTTTGAACATCTCCGTGGCGCGACTGGAGTCCAGACTGGGGTTTGTCTGAGAGGAAGGGACGTTATAACGCAGGACTCTCAATGCAAAGAAAATCGCTTTTATAATCACACCACAGGTGTGCCATTTGTTGCATAAAGTCAGGAATCACAGTAATAACTAGTCCGGGCCTGTAGTTTTTGAGTCACGGGGTTATTGTCATTGAAGTACATTTTCTTAACTGTTTAAGCGGCGAAATTCATCATGCATTTGATTATTATTTCAGAAATGCGATTTTTTGCTTAACTAATATTTCACATATTTAAATGACATCCAACTTGATGAATGTGCACGAGCTGATCTGTTTGTCAATGACTCACATATGGGCTGATTACTTTAAAAATTGTTAACACGTTTGACATTTCGGCACGATCTTCTACAGCATATTGAATAGACTGTATAAGTTTGCAGCTTAGTCTTGTGTTGTGTGGTGCTGAAAGAACAGCTCCCCGAAACACGACATAAAACATTCGTAATGCGTCTTTACGATCATCAGGCGTCATGACAGTTCATATGAGGCCATGAGACGTGCTGAAGAGTGATCTCTCGCACGCACGCGCACGCAACCACAGGGTCAGATGAAGGCCAGGGTTTGCGTGATGCAGTATTGCATCTCTGATTGAGTTCATTTCTCAATGCATCAACATTCAGTGTCATTAATGGTTCAGTAGAAACACTGTAAATCAATCCTGATGCAACAGGTGCGGGTTACAGCTCCACACACACCGTGCACATCATTATTAGCATTATTGCCGAGCTTGCAAGGCAGAAACATATTGCGGATACAGATCTGGCTTCATCCTAAACCCTTATGAAACTTGTGCAATCAATTTAGCTCGAATGTGATTACATTTTTCATTTTTTAATTAAAAGCATTTAAATCGAGATGTGTTTGCATGCTGATTGGTCATTGATCTTTTCTCTTTGATGATGGTGTCATGACAACAGCAAAGCAGCATTTCACTTACACCCAAAGAGAAACTAGAAAACTTCAGCACTATTTTTGTGCTGCTTAAACCTAGTTTCAAAATGCAACTATTGCAAATATTGTGTGTGTGTGTGTGTGTGTGTCAGGTGCTTTCCTTCCACAGGTTGAACATGTTGCCTTTATAACCCGTGCTTATCCTTTTTGAACGTCTTTCCTAGGTTTGAATACACACTCATTTTAAAGCTTTTGCAGCACATTTTGAACTCTTTTCTGTTGTGATGAAAGGAAATATATGAAAGACTCGTATACTATGTGCTCGGGTCAACTTTATTCATATCAATCTGATTATTTACATAATGGAAAGAAAGCATTGACATAAATAAAGAGGTAAAACGAGTCAGTGGGGAATGGACAGTTAATAGAGTGGTGCAGGGATGACGTCAAAACCCGTGATTAATTCACCATGGGTCTCTTGAGATTGTACCTTGGGCTTTAATAATGGGGGTGGGGTTTAATTTATGAGTGAAATAAGGTATGTGGTAAATATAGGTTGACTATACTTGAACGTTTTGCTTTACAGTGTAAATTACACACACTTACTTGTTTTATTCATCTTTTAGAAATAAGATTCAAGTTGGTTATACAGGTTGGAGTGAGCTTGAGAAACCAGCGAGTCGATTTTTCAAATCGATCACTGTTCCATGATGATGTCACTTCCCACTTCCTGAAGGATGATGTCATCAGGCTTTTGTTAGTTTAAAGGAATAATGGCTGGAAATTGATACTGAAAAAAATTATTACAAATAACCCTATTATACTCTTGTATCATTGTAGATTTTTTTTATTTTTTTTTTTTACTTAATTGGAATGGTATGAAACTTGGTAGATTTTGAACACGAACACACACACACACACGGTCCTAAAAATCTTTTGATACTGCGGCCAAACAAAATCTTACTGAAAACTAATATTTTGAGATGTCGACCTCAAATTTGGAACACAACTTGTTTAGATTTATGGCTCTGATTTGTTTGCAGTTTTAGAGTATGTGTTTTTAATATAAAAATGTGAAATAGTATTTCTTTTTAGAACAATAAAACATAAAATTCGGTCACTTTTTTGTTCACTTTTTGAAATTTCATTAATTTTAGCAATAATCTAAAGCAAAGCAAAAGATCAAACGTAAAATATTAAATAAATAAAAACATTTTCAAACTATAGTACATTAATTTCAGTGAAATAAAAAAGAAGTCATTTTTGAGAGCACCAGAGGGTTAAAGCAATATTCTTAAGAAATAAATTCACCTGTAGTGTTTCTTATTAAATAGCCAGTTTTTCATGCTAAAATTAGAGCAGTAACTTTCGTTGAGTTCAAAATAAAAGTAATATTTGATTTTCTCCGTATCTGATGGGCAGATGTGAACAGTGAACGAGAGGAACGCTGCATGTGGCGAGTCCACACCGCAGCCGGATGATGATTCTCGCTGTGTTGATGGTGTGTTAGTGGTGTGTGTGAACAGCAGCTCGTGTGTATAATGAATGAAAGAACTGTTATTCTGCAGGCTCAGGAGAAATGTGCAGCTGAGCACACGGTGATCGTGGATTGAATCAACGGCCTGTTGCTTTGTGCTTGTAATCGCTGGTCATTTGTCGAGCGCAGAGAATTGGAAAATAGCTGATGGTTTTGATTTCATTCTTTACTAATACATTAGCATGAGTGGTGTGGTCGTGCGAGGGACTCCATACAGCTTTCTTTCTTACTTCACCATGGTAATGCAGTGTCATTTGGCAGTGTTTACTAAGGTAATGATACAACCATGTTTATAGGATAAAGTACCATGGTGATTGCACACATAACATGGTAATGTAACACCAGTTTTTCATATAATGCTTTTGAAAAATATGTTCCATGTAATAATGGGGTTTACTTTGAAGTGTTTTAATGAGTCAATATTATGGATATCACTAAGTACCTTGTTTTACGTTAAAGTACCAGTGTGTGTGTGTGTGTGTGTGTGTGTGTGTGTGTTTGAGGCCACACTTAGGTGGGACAGTGACAATACTGCAGGTGCAGTGCACTGTGTGTGTGTGATCTGGTGATGAGTATATTAGTAGTTTAGTTTGAAAACCAAACACAACTTTGCATTATGAAGTATGGTTTTGTATTGGGAATAAATGTGATATGTACATATAGTAAGACTTGTCTAAACATTTTTTACTAGGTTATCAGTTTTTTCCCAGACGCAATTGGTTTAGCCTGTTAATTTGATATTATATTTAAGTTTTTAGATGCGATTTCTACCTTCATGATGTTTAAAAATGTATTTCCATTTAACAACCTTTTCTGATTTCATCCAATCAATTCCTAATGGATAAAATCTCATTTTATTTGTCCCATAATGGAAGTAAAATGGGTTGACTGTTGAATTTAACAGCATAAATCGGCTTATTATGGAAATTAAATGACAAAGCATGTGCAAAGGCCACATTTAAAGGTGATATAAAGTTGTTTCTCTTCTTTAACCTTTATGACTGTAATGGTTGATAAGCTGGATCCAAATGCAGTTATTATATTAACAAAAAATAAACATAAATATATCAAACAGGAAAACCAGAGAACCAGAGCACACTGAACATACTCCATGAAGGATAAGACTCGGCAAAGAACACAAAAAATGACAAGTTTGCACGTGTCAAAGCACTTCATTTTGAGAATAATTCTATTTGCGTTGTTTTTAATTCCAGAACAATCAGTAACTGAGCGGGTGAGATGTCAGGTTCACCGGGCTCAGATGAACACTGTATAATTTTATTCAGTTGAGGACAATGAATTGAATTGAGCTGGCACATTCAGTCCATCACTGCTGAATGAATCTGCACAGAAATGGAGAAGTGTGGCCCGTATTTGAATTGATCTCTTGAGTTTGGATATTGAGATGGAACTCCTCCATCCTCAAGTGACCATCTGGTTCACATTAGCAATGTAAAGTTTCAGCATGAACGCGATTCGTCTCTTTTCAATCCGGTAGGCTATTAAAGCTGTGGGACAAGAATGGGCTGTGTTTCAATCTTTAATACAATATTGCTTTCAAATGGAATTCTCTTCAGAACAAGCGCATGATTTGAACACAAGCTAAATCCCCTGTTGTTAGTGTGCTTGTTAAAACCAGGTTTGCTTTAAACTACATGTGGTGTTATATATTCAGCGAGTGAAGCACAGACAGACTCCTAATGGGTCCAAAAGTTTTTGTGGAAAAATTAAAAACATTACCTGAGAATGCATTAATAAGCTGCAGATATACAATAAAGTCCATCCACCCATCCATCCACCCACCCACCCACCCATCCATCCATCCATCCATCCATCCATCCACTCATTCACCCATCCAATCATCCACTCATTCACCCAACCATCCATCCACCAATCCATCCATCCATCCACCCATCCATCCACTCATTCACCCATCCAATCATCCACTCATTCACCCACCCATCCATCCATCCATCCACCCACCCATCCATCCATCCATCCACTCATTCACCCATCCAATCATCCACTCATTCACCCACCCATCCATCCACCAATCCATCCATCCACCCATCCATCCATCCACCCATCCATCTATCCATCCATCCATCCATCCATCCACTCATTCACCCATCCAATCATCCACTCATTCACCCACCCATCCATCCATCCACCAATCCATCCATCCATCCATCCATCCATCCATCCATCCATTCAGCCATCCATCCACCCATCAACCCATCCATCCACCCATCCACCAATCCATCCATCCATCCATTCAGCCATCCATCCACCCATCCATCCATCCACCCACCCATCCATCCATCCACCCACCCATCCATCCATCCAGCCATCCATCCAGCCATCCATCCAGCCAGCCATCCATCCATCCA